GAGAGAGAGACACAGAGAGGGAGACAGGGAGGAGAGAGAAGAGGAGGGAGTGAGTGGGAAGAGACAAATAATAGAGGAATACAATTACTGTGGACAAGACAAGGACAATGGCTGCAATCCTGACACTGCTTAAGTACCTTGGTCCGCCTTTTGCTTACACAATTGAATCCGGCTTTGAGGTTGATTTGATTACTGGGAGCAATCAGAAGTACAATATTAATGCTTATTAAATCACAGGCTGGAACAGAAGCTTCGACAGAAAAGGGAGCTTTGTAAGAGCCCGTCTGGAAAGTTCCTGCAAGCTCCGTCACTCCTTACAATCTTTAGAGTCAAGGGCCAACTCAGCAGTATTCGATCTAGCCGGCAGTGCTCCCACCCAAACACAATTTAAACTTCTCCAGTGATTTATCTTAAGAGTGCTGCAGCGCTGCAGTGCTGCACCTACCTCCTTTTGAACTGGTAGAGGGTGTAGCCCATCCATAATGTCCCAAGCATCAGCAGGAGGCAGAGGACGGGCCTCTCTCGAGTGCACTGGATGAGGGATTCAGGGAGGGCGTTGAGTGCCAACCCAGCCGCCACCTCGCTTCTGTTTCCCCCAAGCAGGTCTCTACCCTGAGAGAAGTCCTCTATGCTACTGTTAGCTAGCGTTGGGGCGTGGTAGTACCTGTGAAAGACTGAAGTCACATCCACAGTGTTTAGTTACGCTGAGAACAGACATGAAGATTATTGAAACCAACAAAGACTACAAGATTTTTAGCCACGTTAGCAGGTTGGCTCAATATAGGCAATGTCAGTCAGTTGGTCGGTCCACCACTTCGGTCCAGACTAAAATATGTCAATAAATGTTAGATAGACTGCCATGAAATTGTGTACAGACATTCATGGTGTCCTGAAGATGAATCCTCATGAGTTTGGTGATACTCTGACATTTTACTAGAGCGCCACCTGCAGGTTGACATTTGTGGTTTTGTGTGAAATGTCCAGTTTCCAAATACACTAAAATCTTTTTTGTTAAGAGCTTATTAGCAATGTTAACATGCTAACGCAGTAGGCTTGGATGGTGAGCAAGGCAGAGACTTTCAACCATCTAAGCCTCATCACTTTGAGAATGCTAGCATGCAGACGTTAGCATTTAAAGCACCGCTGTGTCTCAGTACAGTCTCACAGAGCTGCTATCATGACTATAGACTCAAGTCAGAAAGTAGCTTATATTGAACAACCGAGTAAATACAGCACACTGAACAAAAGTTGGCTTTGCTGCTTGGTTAACCCCGCAATCCTGAATGTGACTGTACAACAAACAAATAGCCTTAAAGGCCATTTGCGTTATTTATGCTGCAATCAGCACAGAAACACAGGAAAAATGATAAATTTAGGTAAAATATTGGACATGGGCGACAAGGACTGTAAATCCTGCAGGGAGGGCTGCAAGAGAGAGAACCTCATAAAAGTGAGATAAACCTCAGCTGAGCTGTGGCTCTGCACTAAAACCTGATCAACTGGATCGTAAAATAAAAATCACTCAAGGTACACAGCACTCATTTGCCTACCGATTTTGGGCATTTGGCTCACACACGGTAAATATCAAACATGTTTAAAATCATCTTAATGAGAATTACAGGCAGTGGCTGGATCAAAGGTTAAACAATTAAAATCCTTAAAACACCACACACTGCATGATTTTATCTCTGCCATGGCAACACCAGCTGTACCAGACTGTAGTGGACTCGGTCCACTGAATTTAGTCCTGACACCCATATCAGATCTACAGTATAAACAACCCAGTAAAAACAACCCACAATGTGTGCCTGCCCTTTTAGCGAGCATGTTGTTGTTAAACTCTGTAGAGCAATGCTTTTACAACTATTTTAAATAATAAGAATGGCACAACCTTGTCTATAAAAGTGCCACACAAGTAGAAATAATTTCACTTTCATTGGAGGGTGTGTGACACGACCTGCATGCTCTGCAGTCCTTTTCATCAAACCTGGACAAAGTTATGCAGCACGCAAAGTTGTACAGGAGACTGGATACACAGCCAAAAGGTATTCATTCATGTTACTGCAAAATATTTTGGATGAAAAGTGTCAACAAAATGGCATAGGTTAATGTTATGGTAATGGCATATGAGCTCGGAGCGTATTTTACAAATGGTTTCCGAAAATTGAACTACTGCACTGGCAATCTCCAAAACAGGACAACATCGCATTCAAAATAAATTACATTCTGCTATCGTCATCTCATTTTTTGGAAATTAAATTGTGTAAAATATTTATGATACACTAAGACTAGGTGCGGTAAAGGCAGGGGTGGTGTAATATGGCTGCAGGCTGGGCTCAAAATCTGGATTGATTAATTTAGTACACAGTATCTCTCTCAGTCTGCTGACCCAACAGAGGAACTCGTGTTTTTTTCTGTCTTCCCACCACTAAACTATCTAGAAGGCTCAGTTTCTTACTCTTGGCCAGACTAAATTCTTATTAGGGGTATGATCTAGCTGCACTGGATTTGAATAAGAAGGGCTGTTCTTATTTGATTAGTTAACTTATCAGTTTGTGTCTTGGTTGTCTGAGAATTTTATTTTCAGGGAAATGTTTTTAGTGGAAAATTATATCTGGCATCACAATAATATTCAAAAATATGGTTTGTTCTTTAATAAGCATTCAATTTTAAGAGATCCTTCTGAATGACTGCATTCATCTGCAGAAGGGCAATAATACTGAAAATAAAAATTGACCGTTTTTAATTAAATGGACTAAATCATTAGTTGAAGAGATCTTATGACAATCAGACAACAAAGGATTCTTCAGTTAAGGACAGCCATGCTAATTAGTGAGCTGCACTTATATAATATCTAAAAAAATTCACCTCTAATATAGTGAGCAGTTAGACTATTTTGGGGATTTGAAGATGTCTTACCTCGGTGTAATTGGCTGTTTAAAAATCCGACATGAGTTTGAGGCTGACACTTTGCAAAGACAGGAATGGTGGTGGATCTGACAGCAGGCATGATGCTAGTGTTAGCATTGCTTCTGATTAGTCAGAGCGGACCACGAGCTCTTGATTTGCACAGCCAAAATGCCAGTAATGTGGCAGGAAAAGGCCTCAATAAAAGCAATGCGAGACTGTGGAAACAGCGATGTAAACGAGCTGTAACAACAAAGAAAAGAGACATCTGCCATGTTTGTCAGAAACTTACTTTTGACTGTGCCTTTCACTGCGTCTACCACAAATGCAATGGAAATGAACAGAGCAATGACCTCCTCTGTTGACCTGGAAAAGCACAGAACCATTACAGAAGTGATAACAGTTTGCATGCATGTGTTCATGAAACGCTTTTAAATTAAGGCTGCACAATCTTTTTAAAATATTATCTTCTATTATTTTTATATTTTTGAAAATGATTCTACAGCATTAAATCAACATTAGTAGAAGTGAGAATTCACCTATTAACACATTAACAAATTTTCCCAAAAAACACATTGTATAGACAAAGTAACACAAAGTAGAAATGAAACTGGTAAACAAATAAGTCAAATTACATGTAAAAATGAAACTTCATTAAAGGGAATACAATAGAATTTAAGAACCTGATTGGGTATATTTGCTTATGTTACCTTTTTTAGTTGAGAGAGGGCATAAAATATGAATCAGTACTTAATACTTAATATCTGTTGTTTTTGGATAGGAAGGGAACCAGAAGCAACAATTTAAAACTCTGGATGTGTTGGAGAAGCTACTGTCACACAGAACTACTCAGCTTTCTTTAAAAATGGTTTGTTATACAGAACAGACTTTTCTGTTGAGCGCCAGTGATTTAAGTGCAGACACTGGCGTGACCACCCAATTTAAACCATTTTTCTCTCTGACAGAGAAGTAAGCACACCAACAGATAAAAGGAAATGTAAGAATGGCTTCAATAAAATGAATTTTAGTGAAATATAAACAATTAAAGGGAGTTACATTTAAAAGTGTGAGTGTGTGAGAAATACCTTTTGAAGAGCTTCATGAGCAGGCTCACATTGAAGATCCCTCCCAGGATGAGGAAGAGGCAGTTCCACAATCCGATGCAGGCGTAGAAAGCTGGGAAATCCAGGTTGTAGTCATCACAGATTCCTCGGATCACTACGAGGTTGCACGTGTTCACAAACACACACAAACACACACACACACACACACAGTTATTACTTGTCCTTATTACCAGTGTGCTCCAACAACCTCAGAACTATATGTCTTTTGATTAACAGATTCTTTGCTTCTTTTTGCTAATGCAAATGAGGAAGCAGTTAACATGTTGCCACATTAGACACTATGTCGGGCTAATATCTGTCATTTTAAATATAGAAACTAGAAGAATAAATGGCTTATTTTTTCAAGTTTCATCAATGAGCTGTGTCTGAGAAATTGTATGAGACGAACAAACAATGAGCCAACAGAAGGAGACTGATCGATGTCGATTTAATCAATAAAATAAAGAACAAACTAGGTTAATAAGGAACTGTATTGATCAACTTTTTGTACTCTGTAAATACAGAAGCTTTTAAGAAAATAACAGAAAATACTATTTTTGATACTGCTATTACTGAAAAGCAGAGGAAGAACTTTATTAGAGATTTCTACATCAGTTATGGCAGAGATTGATTGTACAGGCACACAAAGAAACAAAAACAACAAATTTGATTCAAACATAAAAAGGACAAAATAATTGTAATGGGTTTGTTAGTACCATAACAATTCAGTTGTAATCTTGAGCACATTTGTGCGCAGATGAGTTACAACGTTACAAACAAGCCATTGTTCTGCTGAGCCAGGCTGCTGGAAATGTAGTATAATTATTCCCATGAGAATGTGCTTAGCACAATTCTAACCCATTTACTTCAAAGATCATCACACCACAAACCCAACAAACAGCTTTGGTATTAAAACTACATCTTGGCAATGGAGTTGGTGCTTTTTCTCATCACGGCGATTCTGCAGCTTCCAGCCATCAAGATCGTTTAAATTCCAACCTACAAAACACTGCTGTTGGGTAAAAAAACCATATAACACTTATGTGCTGTTGTCTCTCAGAACTGAATATAAAGTTTACATGTTCGTGTATGTGATGGATGAGTTTCCCCTGAAACCAAGCATTACGTAACGTCAGTGATAACAAAAAAAGTCATTTTCTTCATTCCTGAAAAACGCAAGTTTTTTGGAGAAATGTGCTTTTTGCTTGACTGCACCAGGAACACTCATTTGGGGCATACGTGTGAACAAATAGCTAAATTACTCGACCAGTGGTGTTTTCTGGTAAAAGAGAGAGCAGATGAGGACGAAAGAGTTTCTAGCTGCTGTTCTACACGGTCGGGTGCCTCCTTCTCTTGATTTTTGACGTAAGCTTCTTAGCACTCCACCCACCCCCAGCCTCCTTTTCAAATCGGCCGTCGGCAAAAACTGTGAAAAGATAAGTGCATTTTGGCTGAGCTGAGCTGAATGAAAGAGGGGAAAGCCTACCACTGATGAAGATGGCGAGGGGAGCTGTGGTTAGAGGGATGACTAGAGGAGAGCCGGCGAACAACGAGTAGATGACCCCACCGATGCTTTGGCCGATGATGGTCTTCCGAACATCTGGACAGAGAGGACGCACACAGAGAAAACTCAGGAGGAAGCACTGATGTGAACTAATTAATGTGCATGAATGTCTGCTCGGTGCTTCTGTAGAGCTAAACAGAAGTTGAAGTAAATTTCCAATTAATTTTTTTGGGCAGGGAATGTTAATATGATGCAAAACACTTTTATTTTACGCCAATTTTAAAGCTCCACCAATCAATATTTGTATAAATAAATGACATGAATACTTTTATTGTGTCTGCTGGATGTGTCCATACGTAAGTTTTTTCTAATAAATGCACAAATTAGCCAAAGCCAAAAGCCAATTAATGCAGCTTTAAGGTAGAAACCTGTGCAATAGGTCTGTTCACCAGAAAATGTCTAATTTCAGTTTTGTTCTTGATAAATAATGTATCCTGGAATTGCTTGTGTAATACCTTTGAAGAAAAGAAGATTACATTATTCCTAATACAGTATGGGATTAGTACACTGTATTTTATGAATCTGCTGTCAGGTCAAACTCTTATGTCTCTGAGAAAATTGTGTGTCCACATCCAAGTTTGTGCTCATACCTATCTCGCCACGTGTGCTCTCGTCATTGAGGGAGCCGAAAGCGATGGCGGGTAGGAGGATGGCGATGTAGAGGAAGATGGCTGTGGTCATGTACTTCAGCAGGGTTTTATTACTGCCAACTATACCTGAGGGAAGACAAACACAAACATATGAGTCATATTCAACTCATAATGGAGCGGAAGAGGCTCAACACTTTAATTTCAAAACGACAACAACATTAACAGAGTTCATCATTCAGTGCCTCTAAAATATGGAAGATCCAGTACATACAGTAAAACTATTCTACAAGGCCTTAAACTACCTACTGCCCTTTTTAAAATACAAGTAATTTGTTTCAGTTTTTTCCCATCCATCATTTTGTAAGAGCAGTTATTGCTTTTATCCAAATGATGGATAACTCATTTTGGAATAAAACACTTTAATTGGGCTCTAATGTGATCACAATGATTTTGGTCCTGTGACCTTCATCAGATGATCATTATCTGATGACACTCACAAGACAGAAATATCTTGATTTTGTTACAGCCCAATGAATGTGCTTGGATATTATGAAATAGGAAAGGACTGAAAGAGAGCAGCCGAGGAGGAGAATCCAGCAAGAAAACTCTGTTCACCTTAAATGTACTTTACTCTTCTTTAATTGCAGTCAAGGTCAACTGAGTCAGTACTTCCAATCACTTTAAAACAAAAACTCTATCAATAATTTAACGAAATTCATAAGCATCTCTGGCAGCAACAGCAACTAAAAAACAAGTATTTATTTTCCTCGTAAAAATAGCTAATTTTAAAGTTATTTGTTTGACTGTGGACAGAAACCCTTTCACCCGTTTGTTGATAAAGAGAATGACTTTATGAGTCAATAAAACCACCAGTCTGCTGAGATTGCAGTGGGAATGTATACCACAATGTCCTTGCCTGATGACTTGGGAAATTACAATAATATTGGCCGTACGGGAACATATGGGAGCAGTAAGACATCTGAGACAGTCATTTTAGCAGGAGACAACCCTAGATGTGACACAGATGCAGCACAGATGTATCTGAGGCAAAAGGTGACAGACAAATGAGGAGCTGCCAGAGGCACCCCAGTGTGGCATAATAAGGGAGATGATTCACTTTCACTACAAGTCCAGGTCCAGCCTACCATCTGTGAAGTCAGAGGGGTAGAAAGGCAGCCTGCGGCAGAAGTCCTCATAAATCCCCCGGCCGGCTTTGAAGAAATCTTTACACTGTGGAAAAGAAGGGAAAAGGTTAGATTTTCAACAAGGACACGAAGTCCAGGTACAGCAGCAGTTTGCAGATGTAGACGTCCCTGTGTGCGCCATCTTCAGGCAAGGAAAGTAACAGCTGCTGCAAGTTTGAGACTTCTTCGGCCTGCAGCCTTTGAGTGCTTTAGTTTAAAAAAAAAATCTTTTTATAGATGCTGTTTGTGTGTGTGTTTGACATTTTATATGTTACGGTTTACGTTACAAGGATTTTGTTGACTCGAGTATATTCTGCTGAATACTGAAAAAAGTACAGTTTTCAATCAGTCAGAGAAGGGTGGTCTTTACCACATTTTATTGGCTGAATAGAAAACGGGTTGGGATCATGTTTGGGATGCAGAGCCCAAAAGGAAACAACACAAGAACCTCTACCTTGTAGGTTGACTGAATTCTGTCTTTAATGCTGAACATTTGAATGGTGAACTTGAATGATACTAAAATCATCATTTGTTTAGAATGTTGTTTAGAAGCATCAACAATTTTTTAAAACCAAATAATGTGGTTGGCAGCACTGTCTCAGTTAACACTGCAGGTATTCCCAATAACCTTCACCAATAAGGTAGGGCAGCCTGTATGTAGCCTAAGAGGCAAATCCCAGGGCAACAAAGCCTGCAAAACACTCAATTCACCAGTCGCTACTGTTCGTTAGGCTTACTGCTCTGAGCGTGTGGTGAGAAAAGGAGACTCCGATGAGTGTATCAATATTTTTATCAGCTCATCTCCTCTCTCATTTGGACTGTGGTGGTTGGACGGTCAGGGAACGATGTTCAAAGAGGCTTTAGTGAGAAAATCAACCTGAAACAATAAAAGTGAGTGGGAGTGTCGTCATAGGTCGCTAGCCGCTTTATTTGGCGTGCCTCAGCTCCAATTTTTGGATTAACCTGGAGCCGGAGGAGTCAGGCACTGCCAAGATGGCGGCAGCCAGAGCCACACTGAGCTTGAAAATGGCTCTTCAGAAGTGTCTTAAAACCAAAAATGTTTCTATTACCTATATAATTGATATTGGTATATGGAAGTTGAGTTTTTTCCTTATTGATGAGTTATGTTTTTGTAAAGTTTCAATTTGGCTCTGAGACATTTTTCTAATTTATCTTGTTTTATCCATGATGTCCTCCAAAATATGCAACAGCAGAATACGGCCTGAGGTTGTATCCAACTCATACATTTTCTTTCATCTTGCACTGTGCTGTGGACAATGACACATTTAGATTAAAAATTGCCCATTTGATGATTCAGCTAAGACACTGGTGATTCCACAGGGGGCTCTCTGAAAGCTGATTTGATTCATCAAATTTAACGAGATAGTCCTAGAAAAGCTTCAACTGCGTAATCCAAAACACAGTAAGCAGATCAGCCGGACTGCATTTAGATGTACATTTAATAAAGATCCCCGTGTCCGCAGAATGATCAGGAACGACAGAGAGATGACAGCAACAGCGAGGGATAGAAGATTCAGTGTATTTTTAGAGAAGTCAAGAGGGGGACGGAAGAGAAAGAGCCACGTGATTCAAAAAAGGGACATGGAGTGCTTCTTTAAAAGATGAGCTTTCAGGTTACAGAAGATAGAAAGTAAATGTGCAGTCCTGACTGAGCTTATTAAGTAAATTATCCAATTACCCAGTGTTTCATTTTCTTGTTGAACATAGCATTACATAATTAAATGGAACGGGTGAAGAGGGAGGGGGTGTGTGAGTCGGAAAAGCCCTTGGGAAAATCATTCCTGCCTCATTTGTCATCAAAAAAAGTTTTGACGTTTTTTGGCAGAACAATGGAATTTACCTCAACGTAAACAACCTGAAAACAAACAACAGCATAAACATTTCTTTTTTCCTCTCTGAGCGGGCTGGCTAGTTTAATGAAGCCACACATGCTTGTTCAACAAGGGCTGTTCATCCATTAAATCCCTATACATCATGGAATCATTTATTATTACAAGGGAGCCTGTGTGTGTGTGTGGGGGGCCTGATCACCAGCTTTTGGCTCAGGTTCGATAAACAAAAGTCTCAGGGAGGAATTACTGTCCACCTGTTTGCCATTCGTTCTGAACGGTCGATAGAGAGAGGCAACGGGAAGGAAAAACATAAAAACACAACAACAATTTGGCCTCGTTTTTTAAAGTATAGGAAAGTGGTGTGTTCTCGCGGGTGGTCCGATGTCCATTTCGGATGTGGAAGGAGGTGGGGAAAGCGGGTGGTCTCCTGTTCTTTTCTCCCTCATTTTATCATTTTCTGTTTCCTCTTGATTTCACCTGCTCTCTGTAACTCTCTGCCATCCCCTTCTTTTCTCTCCATCTGTCTTTCTCCGTATATCCCTCTTTCACTGAGTGGCACTGAGCCTTTCAAGCCCTGGGATAAACACCTAACAAAATCCTCCACTAAAAAAAAAAAAAAAAACACAAGGGGAAATATCTGGGAGCCCTGGCCTGTCAACCGCAACATTAGGAGGAGATGTTGGTCTGTGGCATTGAGCAGAGCCCCTCTGGAGGTGTGTGTGTGTGTGTGTGTGTGTGTGTCTGTGTTAGTGTTGTGTGTGTGTGTGTCGTGTCTGTGTTAATGTTGTTATGTGTGTTGTGTGTGTGTGTGTGTGTGTGTGTGTGTGTGTGTGGGTGTGGTGTGTGTGGTGTGTATGTACATGCACGGTGTAGCAAGGGTGGGAGCTCTGACCAGGAACTGTGAGGAGTGTAAGGTCATTTACCCACCCTGAGGGGCCTGGCAGAGCCTTAGTGCTGAATGATAGGGGGAGAGAAAAGAGGAAGAGTCCAAGCCAGCCCGAGCGATGGAGGAAGAAGGGAGGAAGGAGGAAGAGGTGGGGGGTTAGAAGGGGAGGAGGAAATGGAAGGGAATAATAAAAAAAAAAGTTAAAATGTGTAAATGAATGTGCATAGTTTCATTTCTCTGCAGGGCGCTGTTAAGAAATGAGATGGTGAAAAGTAAGTGAAAGGTGAGGGAGGAAGACAGGATGAGAAGCTTTGGGAAAAATACCTCAACTCTGACATGTGGGGGAATATTAGCGAGTGCTACCCAATTTATAGGCTTCATCATCAGGGATGACTCATATTGTCATCAAATGAATACACGCTGCTTCAAAATGTGTGGAAATGTGCCTAATCGCCTGAGGTTGTATACACTGGATATGCTGCTCACACACTCAGAAATGCTGCTGCCCACCTTGAGGGGTTTGTGACTGCGGGGGTCGGTCTCCTCCTTCCCCAGAGCGGTGGGCTGCTGGTTGGTTGCTGTCAGCTGGTGCCTCTGGAACACCAGCGCCTCCTTAAACTCCTCCTGCGTCTTCGTCTCCAGCAGCTTCTGCCTGAAGGAGATGTCAGAGAAGAGGGTGGCGAACGTCCTGCCCAGCTCCATCGCTGTCTTGGTGCTTTTCTGCAGAAGAGCATTTGGAAATGGTTGAGCATTAAAATAATGAAATTATTAGTGGCTTGTTTTGTTAAATCAGTGGCAACATGCTGTAAGAACAATACAGATATATTAACACCTCATGTGTTAGCAAACAGTTCCTTTAAGGCACCAAGCAGACATGGAGCATCATTTGGAGTCATGTTGGTGTCCAGCTGATGAACGTAAGTCAAATATTCACTCTTTATTCAGCTGTTTTTGGTCTCCACCAGCTCCTGAGGGAAATATCTTGTTATTGGGCTGCTAAATGTCCCATTTTCTTCACCAGCAAAACCACTAACTTTTTCATAGCTTTTTTCAGAGGAAACAGCTGCCTACTGTGGCAGGAAATGGAGCTGATCAGAGCTGTGAAAGTAAATCAAAACAGTAAAGTTGTGGGCCAGAAAACCAAAACAATAAGCTGAAAGATACAACAACGATCTGTAGAGCTGAGAGGAACAGTCAAGTTATGTGTGTCACAATTGTCCTATTTCACATGACACAAAGTCATTTTATCCATTGTTAATATAGAAATACTGACTACTGCTGCTTTATTTTTTCAGTGTTGAAATATTAAAATCCAAATTTAATTCTCAAAATTGAAAACCGTAGTGTATAAACATCCCAGTTTTAAAATGTTCCTCTACAAATGTTTTCACATCCATATTGTTATTAGTATATACAATATTGTATACCATGGCACAATAGAGATTAGTCTACTGTCAAAGTTAAATTGTATTTGTTGTTTTTAATCCAATTTAATTAACTGATAAAATACCTTGATTTGTCAGGTATTTAAATGGACCACTGTGTAGGATTTAATGGCATGTAACGCCCTTGGCTCTCCCTCCCATTCCAAGCACGTGTGAGAAACTACGGTGGTCCTATCTAGAGCCAGTGATTGGTTTGTCCGTTCTGGGCTACTGTTTAATATGGCAGCCAAGTGTTAGACAATGGACCTAGAATTCATTGGATTAGCAAAAAGCAGATATTGTCATATGTGAACTGGCTCTCAATTCATGTCCAACAAAATGTATTATATCATAATACTGCAATATAAAAGCAACTCCGACTAACAATGAATATGTTGTTGTCAAATGTCTCTCAAATCAGGTACTCGAGATATAAATCTGGTCTTAATATCGAGGATACGACACTACTACTTCAAAGGTGGGTTTGCTAGGTGGCAGGTTTGGAGCTGGGGTGTTTTGTTGGGGGCTTTTGTCCATAATCCCACATCTGTTACAAATAATGCTGTCACAAGTCACTGAGTGATGGTAATAATGTACTGGCAGGCGCTGAGACAGCATGGTGCCATGGAAGCCTTGTTAGCCAGGTGGTGATGATACCAACATAGCCGGGCTCAGTAGCGTACAGCAGCAGCTGCAGCAAATAGAATAACTAAAGCCTTTAAGCTTTTTCACAGTGGTAACTGAATTTCAACCGGAGCTGAAAGAGCTGAGAGAATGGATCTTGATTAATCTGAAGGCTCTCTCTGAAGGCACAGGATACCCTACCTTCAGTCAGTCTATAGGTTTCAGCCATCAAAAATCTCACTCATGAGTATCGAACACGAACCCTTTGTGTGCTCTCAACAGCTTGTAGTCTGGGAGGACGGCAGCTATAGTAGACTCGGATTTACAGCAGATACAATAGATTCCAGAGGACACACACAGTCACAGCAGAAAACAAAGACTAGTTTGCAGCCACACAAGCAGCTCTGTGTGTGTGTTTTGAGCTAAATGCTAACTTCAGCACATTAACATATTAACTTCAGCATAATGATAATGTTAACATGCTGATGCTGATGTGGACAAATTCAAATCTTGACCTACAATTCATCCCAAGGGGAAAATGAATGTGTGTCCTAAATTTCATGGCTATCCATCGAATTTTTGTCGAGACAATTCCCTCAAAACCAAAAATGTGAACCTCGTGGTGACACTAAAGGAAAAGTTGAATGAATGAATTAAATTTTTGTGGCAATCCATCTTGTCGATGCTGAGGGACCAAGAGGAAAAGTCAGGGGATCACCAAATTCAGTTGGATTTATCCTTTTGGGACCATAAATATCAGTACAAAATTTCATGGCAATCTATCCAACAGCTGTTGAGACATTTCATCAATGTTTTCATCTATAGAGTCTCAGTGGTACCAAAAAGTATCAAAGCATCCATAAAAAAACTTCTCCAACTATCTATGGAATAATGCTGTAGAAATTGATTATACTGCAGAAGATGTCTTAATATGTTTTCATTGTAATCCACTGTTACTGCTGTGAATCGAACAATAGCTGCCATCCTCCACGAAGGAGGGAGCTACACACATTTCAGAGCCACCTTTCGAGCATGAGTATTGCATACTCAAAAGATAGATTTTCATTGTGGGATTTAAGTTTTGAAGGTCACTAGTTTGATTAACCAGGCCGACTGGGAAAATGTGGGTTTGAAAGTGAGTAACAATGTGCAATCAACATCAAAGACTGAGGGCAGCTTGCCTAACTAGCAAAAGAGGAGTTTCTTTGAGGGCAACAGTACATGAATGTGTTGACAGGCGCTTTCAGGTATGTGTTTAACTGAGTGAATGAGAAACAGAGCATTTTTGAAGAAAGGTCATGTCTGTTCAGCACATTCACTCTGGGTAAAGAAAAGGAGAAAAAAAAAGAAGCCACAAATGCTGTAAAGCTCTCTAAATGGTGGGTGATGGAAATGGTCCACCCTTACACACGCTAGATTACATACATTTGCCAACCAAAGGAATTCCTATTATCATTATCATCATGCCCCTTCAAAGATTTTTTCTTGCAGAAGCAGTCACCATCAAGGATAATTGAGACATAATAGTGCTTTATGTTTACTTGGGGCTTAGATTAATGTCTCTGAGAATGCCATTAGTGGTTGTGATTGCTGCCTGGAAGACTGGCAAGGAGGGCGCTGGAAGGAAGCATTGCAGAGGGCACAAACACAAAGACGGGTTTATGGGAAAAAAGATATAGAAACCAAACAAACAAACAAACACATGATGCAGTTAGCTGAAGCATCACTGCGCTGATTGCCAGGGTCGCAATCCAGTTTGACAGTGGGTTGGTGAACATGGTGTGCTTGGGAGGGATACCAAGCTGAATTTAGGGCCAGCATGGAGAAAGAGTTTCAGCAGAAAGGGTAGTTGAGGGTTTGAGGGGGTTTCCATCTGGAAAAGGGGCGACAATCAGACCCATCTGAAGACAGGAGAGTGATGTCTGTCTGTGCATGTATGTGTGTATATGCAGGTGTGTGTGGATGAAGCAGTGGAGGACAGCAGGGTTGAGTGGTTTGATGGGAAGTAGAAAGAGTTCATGTTTTGATGGGAGGAAAGGGTATTACAGGATCTGTGGCACACTCCATCCCATACAGCAAGCTCTTCAGAGCTGAAGAAAACAGCAACCCTGCACACAACAGTGACCAGAAAGGTTCAGCCAACAGGACACTCATGCCCACGCAAGATACTGAGAGGCCCTTGGATTGAATTCAGTTCAAAAGACATCTGGCAGCTTTGCAGCTATATCAGTAGCATTCTACTGAATTAAAATATAAAATGAAAAGAAGAAATGGCAGCAAATGACCTTGATATGAAATATAATACTCTGAGTGAGGAAAAAGCCATTAGAAATTTCCTTTTGCCTGCCACCCTCTTTCATTTTATGAAAACAATAAAGGAGAAGGTGATTTCGTTATCATTTTCTAAATAGTGATACAAAACAAAAATCAGTGGAAGCCAAATTTTAAACTACCATTTACATCCCAAACATTTTGTGGTTTATCTGTGTATTTCTTATAACTTTAATTAAGGTGACACATAATCAGTACTTCATTTGTGCTTCCTCCACATTTGTCATTTTACTTTAAATTACAGAAAAGTTTCTGCACCTTTATCGTCACAATAGGATCTTGTTTTTAACATCATGTGGTGATCTGTGTCTACTTGCGAAAAGAAACAACGCACGAAACGAGCACGGGGACATGAAATCCTGGTGAAGATCAGATGAAATCAATCTGGGTATTTTGGGGTAAAAATATGCAAAAGAAGTTTCATCCAGAACTGAGCTTGCTTTAAGGAAAACCAAACTTAATTGGACTTGTGACAGGTGTCTTACTGTAACTGAATTTGCAAGAACTGAATAATTTAAAAGTTTTAACTGTTGAACTGAATATACGTTTCCTTTTAAGCAGAGCTGGAAGGTATGCAAATGATCAATTACTTGCGCTATAGCAGTGGGACGCTTACATTGATCATATGGTGAGTTGGCTTTTACTGACCCATGCACCTGCAGCGAACACACCTCAAATGACTTTTAGCTTTAGGCAAAGATGAGCGATGAAAAAACAAGAAAATTACTGGCAGTGGAAGAATGTCTTCACAACACATTATTAGTGAATAAATAAGGGAATTAAAAAATAAATGAAGAAGGAGTTATATTTTTGTTAGATGAGAATAGTAGCAACAGTCAGCAACAAGCAAGCACAAACAGTAAATGTAACAAACAAGTGGGTCTACAAATGCCTCAGTAATCCACCAAAGTCAGATAAATCCCACGTATCATTTCCTCCCTCTGGGTGTTGGCAGTTACCATTTTTAGCGGGGCCAGTATCAGGATGACATAGCGGACCTCGCAGCAGTTCTCCCCCCAGTTTTGCGGCCTCTCCAGGCGGGAGATGCACACATGACGCCTCTGGAGATGCTTCACATTGCAGCTGGAGCAGAGAGGGAGAAGGAGGGAGGTTTAATAAATGTCAACGCCTCACCTCGCCAGCAGTACCCTTCATTTCCATAGATTAACCTCTCTCTGTAGTAACAGGTAGACACTATGCAAATGTGCTGGGTGAGCCTGTGTTCAATTACACACAATTATACACACACACACAGCCACGTATATGTGGATGCGTGTAACTGCACAGATATACTGCGCACACACACATTCCTGGGGTTCTATCAGTTGGATTAAAATGTATTTTTGTACAAGATTGAAATATTACATTTTGAAAAACATGACGGTTACCATATTCACATATTGTCACTGTCAAATGAAAACCATGTATCTCCAGATTTAGAGATTTAGATTTTTTTTAATGACACATCGAAGCGTTTTCTGACATAATCTCCCACAGCGGTATGAAATTGTGTGTAGCTTCTAAAACTGTTACAAATTACTGTTGAAAAATAAATCTGTTTCATGATGTGACAACACTAAAGGTAGGGTTTGGGTAGATTTAAGCAAAAAAAAAACAACTTGGTTAGGTTTAGGGAAACCGTGGTTTGGGTTTAAATGATTAGGGAACTTTAGTTGCCACGTTTACAGTAATAAACATGTGGTTAAGGTTGGTGAAAGACCGTAGTCATGCTTACATACAAAAACACAATGTTGACTGTTGGTAGTAAACAGGAAACAAACTGCAGTCTCCCGTGTTTAAGTGCAATGTTTTGGTGACATATCCACACACCTCGCCCTCGCCTGACTTCCTGTCATAACTTTACATTAGTACAGCCACTAGAGCCCCTTCACAATATATCGAGGGGTGAGAACCAGAGGGGCGCAAGTGACATTTTGGGTAAAAATAAGTTATACATATCAAATGAAAGCTCTTGATGAGCTTGTTATTACTGCCAAAAGTGTTAAACCAATCCAGAGTTATTAATCAGACCTAACACTATTGATTAATTGGTTCAATTCTAAACCTCACACCAACACACAAACACACCCACACACACGTTATGGCTTACAGAATGCAAAGCCAGGACTGCTGGTACTGGATCCCGGTGGCGGTGGCCGTCACCCCCTGGATCGTCTCTGACAGCAGGTGGACTGTGGGCGAAAGGTCAGAGGTCAAACACAAGTTAACTCAGATTGACCTCAAGCACAGTTTGATCCTTACACACTCTTATTTTCCACTGCACAGAGTTGGACTCCTTCTTTTCTGTGTGGGTCTTAATAGCACCAGTAATGCATGTCATCCCTCCACTGAAGCTGAGTGTAGCTATCCTAAAATGTATACTCACATGTTCATTACCTCAAAGCCTTTAATGTTTAAATCTGAAATCTAAAATAAAACCTGGCTCTGGTTTCTTTATCTGATCTAATGGTGTCAGAAAGGTTCAATAGAAATCTAGAGCCGTATCTGCTGTGCCAAGCCTCTCAATATGATGTCTACATCAGAAGTGTCTAACAAGCTCGCCTTCTGCTTTAGAAGGTGATGCCAGTCTGCACTGTCTGCAAACACCACACCATGACACACTAATAACGATGTCCATCCAACCCCAGAAAACACCAACGCTCATGTTTGCAGACAAAAAATAAAAAAAGCACATTTCATTATGCTACCATGTTTACACAGTACAAAATGGGCAACTAGGGGCTCTGCTGAAACCAGCTCGTTGCTTCCTAATAAGAGGAATCTCCCTTTCCGACTTTCCGCTGAGAGGGATGAATAATAGTGTTTTGGGGGATATTCTTCAGCAGCCCC